TTTGAAAAAAAAAAGTCATACAAAAAGTGTTATGTGTTTAAAGCATAGCATGATTGAAGGGGGAACATAGCACACTTACTTACTCAGATATTTAAATGACCTGTCTTCACTCTTCGTGCAAACCGCAGCATTGTTTCCATCCCTGTCTACCGCTAGCGTCATCCATGATGTTGGTATTGGACCGTGCGGCGAGGTTCGCGAAGTCCAGGCTCATTAACCGTTACCAGCTAAGAATTCAGCTGGCCATCCGCGCTACGAATACGTCAGCCCATCTGGTGGCGGCCTACATCGAGAACGGCCTTTTCGAGGTCCATTCCAGAGTTCTTAGTATCCATCTGTCGTCTGTCCTAGACCAGCTCATCGATGTTTTGCGTGAGACGTAATCTGCTAGATCGCGAATACAAGACGTGATCTCATATCTGAACGGCGAAGTTGGACGAGATGTTCAGTGCGTTCCAGCTCTATTTGAGTTGTTCAGAGGCTTCAACGTAGACACAGAGTCAGGCCACACCTTTGCTACGTAACAGAGCGCAGAGAGAAGTTGAATCAAACAGGAGGGTTCGGAGCTCCGGTGGTTTGTGGCTTTCTTTGAGGGCAGGAAGGCGGGCCAAGATACTCACTTCCTGTTTAGTTCTTCTTTGAAATCGTTTCCCATGTTCATCGAACGCCTAAGATATACGTAAAGACGTCTCCGCAATTAGAGAGCCTTCTAATTCCATTTGCTGATCCTCGCAAAAACCGATCTTCTCAAATAGCCTTCTTCTGGTTAATGCGCAGTTATTCTTCTTTAGGTTTTGATATCATCTACTCTTCAGCAAATCCTTGAAGAGAGAACAATTTTGCACAAGAAACGAAGATTTAAGGGGAACTCCCATCAGCTCGTATACCTCTCTCGTTCCAATCCAGTGACTCTATCACCACTGCAAGGCGGTAAACAGCTTTGGCGACACAGCGTCGCCTTGTCAAACCCATTTTTAAATTTGCTAAGGAGCGATATATAAGCTCACCGTTGCATAGCAGTTATTGTAGCAGTTGACTAACGTCCTCACATAAAATTGTTTCACTCTTTGGTCGACGAGCGCTGACAGTATTGCATTAGTCACGGCTGTCAAACACTTACCCATAGTCGGCAAAGGTTGGGGCGACAAACGGTACTCTCGCAAACCTCAATAATCCCCGTAACCGTCTGGCTGTGATCCACGCATTTGAATTTCCTCCGAAGTCCAGCTTCTAAACTGGACTTCATGCAGTGTCTTTCATATGCAAGTGAGAATAAGTTTCGTAAAGACCTTGCAAAGCTTTGATCGCCTGCCCGAAAATCTTTTGCAAAGCTGTTCTGCAACTGGTATTGGCTATCAGTCGTTCATATGTTCCTTGTTCGAGGCACTGATGCACTTTCATCATATGCTCTCAGTCCTCTAAAACGCAGTTCGTACTTTGCTGGGTCCTCCTGCCAGTCACAAGCGGTCACGAGCTCCTCCGATCTGACGCCGTCATATATGACTTTTCTTCCTCCAACAGTAGATCTTCTTTCTCAGCTTTCAGCTGAATCGCAATTTTGCTTGAAAAAGACGGTGATCTGAACCACTGCTGAAATGGTAGCACTGAGACGGTCTAATAAGCACCACTTTCAGTTGGTGAGAATGTGGTCGATCTCCGCATGAGTGTACCGTTGCGTGGCTCCCATGTCCACCGCCGTCGTTCCTTCTCAGAGATGGAATTGCCATGAAAAAAGTTTTGCAGCGGATAAAAGCTCAACAAGACTTACCATTCTTACTCCGAATCCTTATCCAAATCTTCCGATCCTATGCTTCCATTCTTCTGCCATCCCAATTTTCGTGTTGAAGCACCCTCGACGAATCTATAGAAGGAATTTTCTTTGAGGATGGATTCTTCCAAATCCTCATAAGGAGCATCTAGTTCTGAGTCATCAGCTGCTGATGTTGAGGAAAGATGTTAACAGTTGATGATAGTGATGGTTTTCGATGCACAGGACGGAGTTGAAGGAGGCGATGTAATAAAATCTCATGTGAATTGAAAGGATGGGCGATAGGTGGCTGTATGACAAATCCAATACCTCCAACCTTACGTGATGGAATTTTGTCATGATGAATGATGATGCCATGACTAGCTGCCTTCACGTTCGTCTTCCCGGAATTTGTTTCCTGCAGGCGATTACGTGGTAGTTGATGCGCCCTGAAGCTTCGAGAAGTGTGTGAAGATTGGCAGTGGTGGAGACTGTCTTGGCGTTGTAGGTGCAGAGTATGAACAATTTCCTTAGTCGTTGACATGCCTTTTTGGTCCGAAATCCATGGCGTCCTGTGCAACCTGACACTAGTCTTGACGACAGACGCCGGAGGTGTAATCCAATGTGCAGGGCTTTTCTCCCTTTTACATGCTGTTCAACTATGGGATTTTCCTCCATACTTAGCAGCCTTGCCACGGCCTGCCAAGCTTTCACATGCAATGAAAAATATGGATGGAAACAACTTAGCGAGAATCAGCCACACGGTGGCACAGCTGGCATCTGGAGAGCCGAAATTTA